AAGCAAGCTGTAACAGTCAACATGAAATAAAGTTGTTTGTAGAAATGATGTGCTTGTGTATGTATTTCTTATCAGTAAGTTGTGAATGTTCTTCTTCCTCTCTTCCTTTAATGATAACATTGACTTGGAAATCGCTTCGCAAAATGCTTCTTCAAAAGAGAATCCAGCAACATAATATTAACAAATCCAGAAAGTTTTATATCTAGCACTGAAGCTGTTGACTGTTATGGCTTGCTTTGATATGGGGTCTGGACTTTTATGTGCCCTTACGCACTTTGAATGTTGATATTGTCTCCAAATGCTGAAAAGCTGTGACTCTGTTATTGTTAATGCATTCTCATTCACATACATTTTTATAGATATATATTGCCTACTTATTTTTGTTATTCTCCACAGCATTTTTATTTTTTGTGTAACCCCCATAGAGGTTGGTGAACTTAACTGTGATTTATGCAGTTGAGATGAGTGAGACAGCTAACGGTTAAGCATTTTTAGTGAAAGATGGTGAATAGGCTCAGCTTTCACCAATGTATGCTGTGTATTTTCAGGTTATCTATCCATGCATGCATGCCAAAGGTTCTGTGAGGCAGACAGCCGGATTCTCAGATAGAGCCAAACTAGATGACACACGGGCGATCCTTCGTCCATCTCTTCAGAGTTTCCTGGATAGCCCAGATGTGGGTCAGGCAGGGCTCTACTGGTAGCATGAGCTCCTTTGCATATTAGGTCACACACCCCTAGTGTAGCCAATCCTCCAAGAGCTTACAGTAGCCCCAGTAAGAAGAGCTCTGTAAGCTCTTGGAGGATTGGCTACATTAGGGGTGTGTGGCCTAATATGCAAAGGAGCTCCTGCTACCAGTAGAGCCACCACCTCCTATATATATAGGAGGTGGTGGTAGAGCCCTGGGGTCAGGGCTGTGGATCTGAGCAAGGGGGTCCGGGTTAACTCTTCCCCTTTGCACTCTTGCCCTGGTGGAAAACATTCCCCGTGACGGCACCCAACTTTCCCCCAGTGCAGCTGATATTTTAGGCTGTCGTCACACACACTAAATAATCCACTTTCAAATCCACTTCCGGCGCACTTTCCAACTGGATTTGACTGTGTGAACTGGCAAAATCCAGTTGGAAAGTGGATTATTTAGTGTGTGTAACCACAGCCTTAGAGAACTTTTAAAAGACAGGCAAAGTCTCATCATGGGTCTAATCTTTTCTAGTTTGGTCCTGAGCAGATAAAACTTTGTCTGGACTGTAGCGTTTCAGATGGGGAGAAGGGGTTGTCCACTGGATCAAATATTCATCCATGTGATATTTTCTGTCCGTAGAAAATTAGGTGATGGGGGGGGGAGGCAAGGCTAGAATCTTGCTTCCTGATACCTCGTTTTATACACGCAGGGGCTCTTTGGGTGAAACCGTGCCCCACCCTGCCCTGGTTCAGAAATAGTACAGCCCACACACAGGCTTACCATCTCAGTGGGAGCCGGGCCAACGCTTTGTCTTGTAATTTGTATTACTTTGCTCTCGTCTCTCAACATGTATGTATTTATAGTGTGCAATTTTTATTTATGACAAGAGTGTTTTCAAATGTAAAAGAAAAACTAATAACCAACCAACACAAACCAGCTGCTGGTGCAGTCAGAGGGTGCGTCTGCTCTACCCAGCTGTGTTCTGAATTCCCCAGGAGGTGCCAACAAGCACTGGGTGTATCGTAGCTGGCCGGCTTTAAGTGCTGAAGTCACATGTCTTATGACTGGCTGAATTTCTGGGAGCTGGCATCGTAGCATTAGCTTCCAGGAAGATTTGTCAAGCAGGCTTGGAGGTGGTCCTTCACTAGGGCGCAGTACGGCGACTTACGTTCATACTGGAAGCGTTCCCCTCTTTAACTGTTGCGTTTTAGAAAAGAGCCAGAGTCCAGGAGCACCTTAAAGTCTAGCAAAGTTCTTAGCAAGGAATGAGCTTTCGTGAGTCACCTGAAGATACCTGAAGAAGTGAGCGGTGACTCACAAAAGCTCCTCCCCTGCCACGAATTTTGTTAGTCTTTCAGGTGCTCCTGGACTCCGGCTCTTTTCTACTGATCCAGACAGACCAACATGGCTACCCATCTTGCTCTGTCTCGTATTTTAGAATGGCACTGGGAATGAAGTTGACAGATACTCATAGACTAAGTCTTCCAAGTTGTAGTAGAAGCACGAAAACGTATTTAAAAAGATTAAGTGGTTTGTAAACTAGGAACTCAAGTGGTTAAGGCGCTGAACTGCAGGCTGTGGAAAGTCGGTAGTTCAGCAGTTCAAGACCCGAGTTGCCGCATGACGGAGTGAGCTCCCGTCTCTAGTTCCAGCTCCTGCCAACCTAGCAGTTCGAAAGCAAGAAATTGCAAGTAAATAAATAGGTACCCCTTCGGTGGGAAGGTGGCGGGGGGGGGGGGGGGCTGGCAGCCCTATAACTTAAGCATGGCAAGGCCCTTAATTGTCTTGAAAACCCACCCTGAGCCAGGAAACCTTGGTCAGATCACAGACCCCATTGAATCGTTTCAAATCCAGAGTTTTCCTGTTTTGAAAAAACAAAAAACAATCATGGCCCTGCGGGACCTTTCACAGTTCCGCAGGGCCATGAAAACAGAGCTTTTTAGGCAAGCGTTCCGTTAGGAGCGGCGTCTTACCAGCAGCGCCCTGTGTGAACTCCGACTCAGCATGACCTAGCGCAGTGGCACTGCTGAATGTGTCCTTAAACTGCACTTTATTTTTATCGCCACCCGAAGTGATGTTTTAATTGGATTTGTCTGTGTTTTAAATGATCTATTCTACTTTATCAGTTGTAAAATGTATACTGTTTATCAGCTTTGTGGAAGCCGCCCTGAGTCCGCCTTGGCGGGGAGGGCGGGGTAAAAGTTAAATAAATAAATAAATAATTCCACTTAGGTGGAATCCTGGGATCACCTCTTAACCTTTTAAAGCAGGTGAGTAAGGTGGCTTGTTATCAATCTTGTCTAGCTGCCACCATCTCAGCCAAGGATTTATCTAGACCAGGGGTGGCCAAACTGTGGCTCGGGAGCCGCACGCGGCTCTTCCACGCATCCCGTGCGGCTCCCGGCAGGGTGGCTGGGGAAGCTAAATATCATTCGCAAACAAATATCATTGGACAGATAAATACCATGATCAATATCTCCTTTTATTTTATTTCATTTCATTCAACTTATATACCGCTCCTTCCCGAAGGCTCGGAGCGGTTTACAGAGAAACTTTTAACATCCTAGCTAGGGCCACATAGTACAGGGGAGAGGTGAATGCCTACCAGGCACGCGAGCAGGGTGTGTTCGCTTTAAGTTGCTCTTTTTTCCGGCTCTTTCTTCACGGTGGGTTCTTTCCAGGGCGATGGTGTCTCGGCGAGATCTTCTTCTGGCAGGTTATTTTTGGCAGTCTCATTTAATGTTAATGAAAATCAAATTTGCACATTTCCCAGTAAAAAGGTGTAATATCTGTTCATGTCTTGGCGGCTCTCAAACATCTGACGTTTATTCCATGTGGCTCTTACGTCAAGCAGGTTTGGCCACCCCGAGCTACACAATAGCTATAGACCTATTGATATCCCTCTCTGAGAGTTGCTGCTCTTAGAGTTCAGTCTGAGATCTCCTGGTCGACTGGCTGCCCAGCGCATTCTGAAAATTCTTAGAAACTCAGGAATATTGGATAGAATAGTAGCTTTTTGAAAAAAGGAAAACAGAACAGAAGATTGGGCACACAAGAAGAAAACACAGACATTACAAAATACGTGAAAGAAGTTGTAACGATTCCATGTTTTACTGTGTGTGTGTGTGTTTAAAAGTTGGTTGGCATGGCTGTGTGGGACAATCTAGAATGCTGAAACAGGCAAGTTGTGTGATTGGTGAGTGACAGAGAGGGGGAGGGTTTTTTGGAATGGATGCTGTGTGGATGATTTGAATGTCTATCAGGAGTGACTGTTAGAGTTTAGACAGTTTATGATGACAGTTGAGTTAAACAGTTGAGGAGTTAGAGAGCAGAGTGTGCTGTGGAAAAAGCAGTTGATACGAGTTTTGTCCTGAGGTCTCTGTGTGAGAAGCTTGCCTGTGTGAAATATAAGAGTAAAAGTCTCTGTGGTATAAGAGTTACAATTGAAAGCTGAGAGTCTCTAAGAAAAAGTACAGTGAAAGTTACAAAGTTGCCTATGAAATATCCCTGTCAGTGGAGAGAGGCTTGGGAGAGTCACCAAGCATTTGGTCAAATCATTCCCAGTACTGTTTACCTTGTTCACCCTCGTGTTTATACTTTCGTTAAATAAATCCTATTTACTTCAAGTTTACCAGATAAGTAAAGAATCCTTCCTCAGACCACATAGTTCCTCGAAAGGCCTAGACCCCGCGCTACAATACCAACCCCAGAAGCAAAGAGAAGAATTGGAATTTATTAAAATTCCTGGTGGCAGCCAGAATACCCTACAGAGTAAAACATAAAGAACATTTTAAAAGTAAAACTAGACCTCCCCAGATAAGAGGTCGTCACAGAAGTCTTGTTGTAAACTTAATAATGGATCTGAAAGGTTCTTCCATCAAGGAAAGCCACTTTGATTTGTGCCATGTGTGTGTGTGATTTTTGCCAGTCCGCCCTCACTGTGTAGAGCCCTGCATCTCCTTCTATGCTGTCCCTGATGGTCCCCTGTCTCTCAGGAGCATTAGCATGTTGGCCATCTAGTCCTAAATACGTTTGCAGGTAAAGCCCACTTACTGTGTACAAATAACAGCCATCGTGTTCCATATGTGTCTGGGAAGGCGAAGTTAATAAAAGGTGGAAATGTCTGCATTTACTTAAGTCCTGTCTCTCCCCCCCCCTTTTTTTTTTGGCCTTGTACTTATGTCTAACTCACTGAAATCTTTTCAGGGAGACAACAGTACTACCGCTGAGTTTTCTAAGTATGCTGTTTCAGGGTACGGGTTTTTGGTTGCACACACATTTGTTCACCGTTCTTGCGTTTTTCTTGTGTTTTCCTAGGTTGTGGAGAGCACCTTGTACGGACTTTACTGGCCAGAGAATGTTCATGCGCTTTGCAAAACGAAGACGCTCACCAGGCTCTGCTTGAAACTATGCAAAACAAGTTTATTAGTAAGTACGCAGCTTGCCTGCAGATCGCATGATGCCTCCGCGACCGTGTTGGAGAGACACGTCCAGTCTCTTCCTAGTTCTCTCTCACCAATCCGGCGGCAGTCGGCTTCACAAGAAGCCCTCGCCTTGGGACCCTCTAGTCTTTTTATCTGGTGGACATGATTCGAAAGAGCATGTGGTCATTCCAACACTCTAAAGCCAATGCCATGCATGTTATTTGCCACTACTGGTGAAGATTTGTGTGTTGTGCTGTGTGGGGGCAGGTGTCACTCTGTCTGGTTTTTTTGCCCTATACACCCACAGAGCAAGTAGCTTCACTGAATCATAGAATCATAGAGTTGGAAGGGACCTCCAGGGCCATCTAGACAATGCAGGAAATTCACAAATACCTCCCCCTCCATACCCACAGTGACCACTGTTCCACACCCAGAAGATGACAAAAAAAAACCCTCCAGGGTTGCTTCGTGACCTCAGAGTGGCAATCAGCATTTCCCTGGGCGTGTAAAAAAGGTCCAAAAGAACTAAACATGATGTTAGCCGAATTGCTTTATTTACAGCAATTGGCAATTTATAAATGGGTTCTTGCCAATTTATGCCAAGGTCCTGATCCCACCAAGGGTTACCAGTAAAGGATTCGAGGCTGTTGTAGTTAAAATAGATGTCTTTTACTAGAAATAGGTTTCATACAAACAATACTGATACACTCACACATTTAATCAAGTTCCTAAGAATTACAGTATGAAATAAGCACAGTTGCATTAGCAGGTAGGGGTGATGACTGGCGATACTTATCTGTCTTGAAGCTTGGTTGTTCCAATGAAGAATGGATGGGAAGAAATGGAAACAAAGGGAATCTACACATGACCAGAACCAGCCGGAACGCGTGGGCAGTAGAGGCAAGGGTTGGGGATAGCAAGTGGGACTCAAGAGGGGTAAAAGCAGCCAGGGGTCGTCTTGGGGGGAGAGCTAGCTAGGAGGAGTCAGGTGACTGGTTCTCTCCTTTTATAGGGGGTTCAAGAGGTGGGTGGTAACTGTGTCAACCTCTTGACCCACCTACCTGTTAGTCCGTCCCAAAAACAATCCTATTGGTTGCATGTGGGAAGGAGAGGTTATCTAAGAGGGGTGGCCAATATTGTAACCTAAAACCTTACTCGAAGTATGGCATCTGGACAGGTGTGAAATCTAGGCCTGACTGTTCCCTGGAAGGCCAGTTAATGAAACTGAAGCTCAAATACTTTGGCCACCCAATGAGAAGGAAGCACTCCCTGATGCTGGGAAAGACTGAAGGTCAAAGAAGAAGGGGACGGCAAAGGATGAGAGGGTTAGACAGTGTTATCGAGGCAATGAACATGAAACTGAGCATACTCTGGAGGACGGCGGAAGACAGGAGGGCCTGGCGTTATCTGATCCATGGGGTCGCAAAGAGTCAGACTCGACTGTGCGACTGAACAACAAACAGGTGTCTCACAAAATACGATTGTCTTTTTCCAAGATTTTAAAAGGGGTGTAAATAATAGTATTAATGTGTAACTCGTGTCTTACCAAGTGGGGACTCCCAAAATGGAATGGGGGCTATTTGGGGACAGGGTAGTTCAATATTAGTACCCTTGGAAGCACACGGTCAGACCTGAAGTAGCCTGAAATCCACACGTAGGGTTTGGTAAAAAGCTACCGTTTCTCGGAATCAGCTAACTCTTTTTTTTTTTTTTTTGCAAAAATACACCTTCAGAGGGTTATGCAAAAAGACTGGGCATATGCTGAATAGCTCTTTTCTTAGACACTTTCCTGCTGTTGATTTTTAAACGATACAAAAGTTTGCTTGAGCTTGTACCGTATGATGCAGGTTTTCCCTCTTTCGTGAAAGAACCGTGGATAAACTAGGTTAATAGTCTGCCGATGACAGCATGACTTGTTCTCTTGATCTTTTCATAAAAAGCAGCATGCTTTTGTGGTCGCATTAAAACTTCTCCTACTGGATCTTTCCAGAAATAATTGCTTGGCAGGAATGAACCTTCGACAGGGATGGTCCAAACTGAAAACGTCTCTTAGTTACTTTCACCTCCAGAACAGCCAAACTTGGTGTTTGTCATCAGGTTCTTGCTTCTATTTTATAGATTTCAAGTTTCCACTGAGATCCGGGAACCCTTTTTCTTCCCAAAGAATACCCAGCTGGGACATTTGCAGCCATTTTAAAGTACAGGTGATGAACAGAACTCAGCAGCAGATGTGCTTTTCCACACCTCTCTATTTTTAGAGCAAAAATTAATGGAGGACGCGTGAAAGATGGTTAAGTTAGAACAGTAGACTACATGAATCACAACGACTTTGTAGAGCGGAGCAGGCTTAACAAAAGTTCAGGACAATATACGCAACAGGCCGGCATGGAGTGTGAACAGTATCCTGTAAACACAAGCACCTTTCCTACAGAACTCTGGGTTTTAGAAGTCATCTTTCCCTTTCAAATTCGGCCAAGTTTATGGAATGCAGACTTCACAGTAAATGTTTATCCTGTTATGCAGGCAGGCAGATCTGGGAAGCTAACAATGGAAATACGTGTTGTGCTTAAGAATTTTGTTGTGTAAAGTCCTCTTAAACTTACAGACCACAGAGACTTCTTTAAAGACGAGTGTTGGTGTACAAAGAGTATCCTGCTCAATCATCGCCTTGCAGTTTTGCATTTCAGAAAGTACACGCGTACATCTCAATGTGGAATGTTCTAGATCTCTGATGGGAGCAGAAAATTTCTGTTTTCCGGCCTCCTTGTTGATATGTCTCTTTGTTGGATTGTGAGCCAGACGTCAGGGCAAGAACCTTCCAACTTGGCTTTTCTTCAGCTGCTGTGGAGTTCAGCAGCAGGGAACGTCTTCTCTTGGAATCACAATGTGGAATGTTCTAGATCTTTGGTAGGAGCAGAGAATGTCTGTTTTCCGGCCCCCTTGTTGATATGTTCCTTTGTTGGATTGTGAGCCAGAAGTTCGGGCAGAAACCTTCCAAATTGGCTTTTCTTCAGCTCCTGTGGAATTCAGCAGTGGGGAACGTCTTCTCTTGGAATCATAATGTGGAATGTTCTAGATCTTTTGTGGGAGCAGAGAATGTCTATTCTCCAGTCCCCTTGTTGATATGTTTCTTTGTTTGATTGTGAGCCAGAAATCAGGGCAAGAACCTTCCAACTTGGCTTTTCTTCAGCTGCTGTGGAGTTCAGCAGCGGGGAACGTCTTCTCTTGGAATCACAATGTGGAATGTTCTAGGTCCCGGTTTCTCTGGGAACTCCCGGTGGAATTTCCGCAACAGCCTAGGGGCCCTAATATCCCCTACTTCCACCCATTCAAGGTGCTGGGGTCTGCAATCAAGCCATTCCACCTAATAAAACAATTGTCCACGTTTTACTTTAGAATCCAATATCTTTGAGATCTCGTAATGTTCCTCACCCTCAAGAATAATAGGAGGGGGTACAGGTCGTGATGGTCACCAGGGACTTGACCCTGAATCCCGCTTCAGGAGGCTGAAATGAAGTACAGAATGCAAATTTCTCAAGTTCTTTGGAAGATCTAGATCCACGGCAACATCATTAATCACTCTCTTCACCTTGAAGGGACCAAGGTATTTCCAACCCAATTTCCAACTAGTTGACACATACACCGAATCTCCAGGCTGCAGAGCCCAACCTTCCACCCTTCTCTTGTCAGCCTGAGTCTTGTAAGCCTCCTTGGCCGCATTTAAAGTCTTACAAAGGAGTGGCCACAAGTCCTTCAGATGTTTGCACCACTGTGCAGCATCCCCCGACCCCAAGTCGCTCAGCTCCTCCGAAAAGGGCACCGGGGGACTTTCATATCCATATAAAGCCTTAAAGGGGGACAGTCCAGTAGACGAATGGCAAGTGTTATTGTAACAGAATTCAGCAAGGGGTAGCAGCTCAACCCAATCATCTTGTTGATAATTGGTGAAACATCGAAGGTACTGCTCCAAAGTCTGATTAACCCATTCCGTCTGTCCGTCAGTTTCTGGGTGGTAAGCGCTGCTCATAGCCCTTTCGACCACCATGAGTTTCATAAGCTCCCACCAAAAACGGGAGACAAATTGGGCCCTCCTGTCGGATACCACCTTGGACAGGAGCATATGCAAACGGACCACGTGCAGCATAAAAGCCTTGGCTAAGGTTTTCGCCGTGGGCAAAGACGCAAATGGGATGAAGTGAGCCTGCTTAGAAAATAAGTCCACAACCACCCAAATGACAGTTATTGATTTACTGAGGGGTAGGTCTGTGATAAAGTCCATGGAAATCACCTCCCAAGGTCGGCTAGGAGTCGGGTGTGGGTGCAGTAAGCCTGGGGGTTTCCCTGCCGGGGTTTACTCATGGCACAGCCTTGGCATGACTTGACAAATGAAGATAAATCCTTCCGCATGCGCGGCCACCAAAATTGACGCTGCAGAAGCTGCAGGGATTTTACAAAGTCAGGATGTCCCAACCACTTGGAACCGTGCACAGCATGCAAAACCTCCCCTCTGAGGGACAGGGGAACAAACAGTTTATAGCTGTGGTACCAGCAGCTGTCGGATCTCCGTTCAAAATCTCCTTCAGTGTCTATCACTGATCACCCTCCGTGAAGGCGGAGACGAATTTGTTGTACCAAGATTCCCCCCCTTCTCCTCTGACGGGGGGATATCTGGTTTTGGTGACAGCGGGGGGGGGAAGCGGCTGGGCTAGCTCGGCTGCATGTAGTCACTGCCCCGCCCAGGTGGGAAGGAGTGAATACAGAGTCCAAAATAATCTCCCTTTGGCTGGCGTGTTGGGGTAGGCAGGACAGGGCGTCAGCGAGAGTTCGCAGAGCCAGGAAAATGGTGAAGTGTAAACTGAAACTTGGAAAAGAAATCAGCTCACCTAAGCTGCTTTGCATTGAGGCTTCGGGGCGTTTTTAGCATTTCCAAGTTCTTGTGGTCAGTCCATACCTCAAAGGGGACTCGCACTCCCTCCAACCAATGTCTCCAGGTGGCCAGCGCCA